ATTACGTTTGTTTTTGATGTAGGGCATGTTTGTCTTGGCCTGTATGTATGCATGTATGCATCGGAATTTCTTAGCATAATTTTCACCAATTTCCTGAATTTGATTGATTTGAAACTTCGCACACGTAGCAAGGACCGACGACAATGCATTAATTTGATAACAGTTTTCTATTATCCTTATTAGGACCGCCAGGATTGATAGATACTTTTTCAAGATAGTCCATTCTCACCGTCAGTCCGTATCGATTTGGGTAAAGATGGTGTGCACATGATTAAGCCGATAGATATCGATACAGTTTCCAGCGAAATACAGCTATGGGACTGCTGAGAGACTAATGTTGCCATTAATCCTGAGTTGGGCTACGACCATCCACAAGATGCAAGGTGTACAGTCGATCATGCAGTTATCTAGCGGCGCGACTGTTTGCTGCTGGGCGAGCTTATGTCGTGTAAGATATTTAGACGGTATTCGGATTGAAGAACTTGATTGCTCTAAGTTAACAGGAAAAACCCCATGCAACAGTGAAGCTTTAAATGAAATGATTAGATTACGAAATGGTTCGTAAGATATTTCAATACTACTTGCCCACAAAAAACTAATTGACGAATCGAACTAAAAAATGAAAAATGAATAACTAATAAAAAAACTAAAAAAACACACTTTTATAGCTAACCAAACTAAAAAGTAGAAAATAGTTTTCAATTACAAAGACCTTGATATTATAGTAGTATATGGTCGAACGATCAATCATGATTAATGAGCTCAAGATAAAATTATAATAAAATTTAAGTTCTTAACAGAATAATTCAATTCATAGTAAAAAGCTTGGGGTAGATTTTGCTGTATTTTCATAACTCTTCTCTAATAGGTAGTTGCCAATAGAATGATCGCAACCTTTAATATATCAAGCACTGGTTTTTACTCTGAATTGAATTATTCTGTTAGTAACTTAAGTTTTATTGTAATCTTATTTTGAGGTGATTAATTATGATTGATTGTTCGACCATCTGCTACTGTAATATAAACTTTTTGGAACTAAAATTATTTTCGTCAAAAAACAAGAAATTATCTCAATTTCCACGTCTTGCATACGGATACTTGATAATTTTAAATTTTACTTGAAATAAGTGGGATTAGAAAATTTGCATAAATATTTGTTGGGTTAAGTTGGAAAACGCTTTTTAGCAACACTTCGCCTTTTTATACTTTGCATAACGCCGGATTATTATTAGTATAAGTAAGGTTATGTTCGCGTCAACGCGCCGTGTAATTCTCTGTTCCAATAGAATAGTTTCGGAAATCCTGAATTGCTCTTACATCCAGCATGCGCAGAAAAATAATTCGGGATTTGTGAACTAGTTCAGAACCGCCTATTGGAATAAAACTTCTAATATCGCTGCTGGTAAACCGTTGTTAAGATTAACCGCCGTAGAATTATGAATCCGTGACTAAACGACATTTACTCTGGGCTCCTGCAGACTCCCTAGATTGATATCAAGCACGAGCTGTTTCAACACCGATGTTTATACCGCTCTGTTCTATTTTTAAAGACCGCATTATTGGTAATCTCTTGGTGGCAGAAGCACGTTGCCGATAGCTGTGCGTTACCAGGCATTTATTATAGGTTTTTATGCTAAGAAGATCGATCTACCGTTGCTTCTCAACCTAGTCACATTAATTTGGTTTTCTGCTTCAGCTTTTACTAGGTGTTGTACCTGTTTCTGAACATTTCAAGCGATCAAATTTAGGCTCTCTTCGCTTTCTTTATTTTATAAATGACCTCTCTAACTGCTTAACCTGTCCTTCTCTGTTGTTTGCCGATGATTTAAATATATGTGCTCAGATTAACAGCATTGATGACTGTCCAATCTTGCAAGCTGGCCTGAATCGTAATTATATTTGAATGGAAAATAATAAATTGTTTTTGAATATTAGCAAATACAAGACCTGTTCTTTTACCAGGAAAACGAATCCAATAGCTTTTGATTACCCACTGGAAGGTGTCAGTTTGATGCATTGTTCAGAAGTAAGGGATCTAGGTGTGTTAAATTAGAATTTACAGATCATATTAATATAATAGTATCATCCGCTATGAAAAATCTCGGTTTTTTGATAAGAAATTATAAATCATTTGGTAGTGAGACGGTACTTAAGGTTTTATACTGCACCTTGGTGTATGGCATCCGTATTACCAAATCTATACACATGAAATTGAAGGTGTGCAGAGGAGATTTCTTAAATACTTGACTTTCAAATCAGATGGTGTTTATCCCAATCGTGGGAGTGCCCAATCAGCGATGTTGCTCGGATTTGAAATGCATCCTATTGAGCTGAGAAGAATTTGTAATAGTCTAAAATTCCTTTACCAACTCGTACACAGTGATGTTGATTCTTCAGCTTTATTAGCTAAAATTTATTTTCATGTACCGTCCCGCATTTCCCGAGGATCTCTCGCACTTAAAAACACCAAATTCTAATGTTATGATTAAGTCACCCGTGGACTTTATGTGCTCCAGCTTTAACGCCATAGCTGACAATTGTGACATTCATCATGATAAGGTCAAAGGTAGATTTGCTGTATTCAGCGAGTACTATTATTCAATTTATAACATTTAAGACATGTAGGTGTGACAATTCATCTTTTTCTTTCATTTTTTTCAGAAATTGGGCGAGCTATGATTGCAGCTAAAGATACTGTAACGTCAAATTGTATTCAATTACATTGTCATTTAAATGGTGTTATCTGTTGGGCAATAAATATAGTATTATTGTTATTATTACTATTAATATTATTATTATTAATAATACTATTACTATTATTTCACCCAAATCAATATTTTCTTCTTTTAAGTTCACTCAATTTCTGCTATATGTTGATAAGAACGAAATATGAATTGTTTTGTTTATGTTTTGGAATGAATCACCAAAAAAGAGGTCCGCTAATTCCATCTGTCTATCTGTTGGCCTGTCTGTATTGTCTTTAGTGAAGAGTCTCGATTGTGTTTAGGCATGCACGATGGTCGTGCCAGGGTTAGAAGGCGACGTGGTGAGAGGAGGAATCCACAGTTTTTTGTTGAAAGACATGTTCATCACACTGTTGGAGTTATGATTTGGGGTGCTATAGCTTATGGTTCCAGGTCACCTTTAATCTTCATCAGAGGTAACATGAACGCGCAGCGTTATATCCACGAAGTTCTAGAACCCCATCTTTTACCCTATCTTGACACCCTGGCAGATCCAAGTTTCCAACAAGATAATGCCCGACCACATGTTGCAAGAGTCACAATAGACTTCTTTCAACATAATGATGTCACATTGTTACCATGGCCAACAAGATCTCCCGACTTATCCCCAATTGAGCACGTGTGGGATATGATGGGTAGGAGATTGCTCAATTTGCAACGTCCTCCTCAGACTCTAGAGGCACTTCGAGAGGAGTTGGTGGTTGCCTGGAATGAGATACCACAGGAGGACATTGACCACCTGATCAGAAGCATGCCTAGGCGCGTTGGAGAATGCGTAGCACATCAGGGTGCATCCACACATTATTAAAGGTCAAAGGGCTTTAAAGCAGTGCAATCATTTTGAAATTTTTATCATTTACTTATTATGCTTCATTAAGTACTTATACAAAATTTTATTAAAATAAAACCATTTAAACTGGGTGTTCGGATTTATATGTCACTTAGTATATATAACATAATTCAGTTTCAAAAACCTGTTTTTCATTTGTGTCAGGACACAAAACTTGATGCAGATTTCACCAATCAGAAAAGAATTCGACGAACCAAAACTGCCCAGTAGAGGGCGCGAGAGCTCCCAATTAACAGGGCTGGCTTAAGAAATAGGATTTCTGGCACGGTAGTTCAATAAATTGAATATTTACCCGATGTTTGTTGAAGAATAAGCATTCTATAATCTCATTTATACCTTCAAAGAATTTATCAACCAGAATATGTGGAGGAATTTTGGGACACATAAAATTTTAATTGCCGTCATATCAAAATCTAGATACTGTAACAGATTTGTGACCTTGCTTCGAGTCCAGACGCAAATTAAAAAATAGGTTTTTGCAGCAAAACCATGTGATTTATGCCGTATTTCTTGATTAAATATGGAAATTAATTCCTATCTTACACAAACCGTATGATTTTTTTTTTATTTAACAGATAGTACCGCATCAACCTCGTAGGATTATTAGCGGTATGGACGACACAATAATCTATGTATTGAAGTACATGTCAATGTCTTTGATAAATTTCACAAGTTTATCGGTTTGATGCAGTAACACTTCACTGATGTCATTAGAAAGGTGGTTGAGACTTCTGGCATTTTGATAACTAGGGCACTCCATCAGGATGTGAACCACCGTGAGCCGCTGGTAAACCGTATAATTATTCTTTCGTTTGAGAGACATTTTACAAGAAATCGGCCATATTCTTTACATCCATTGCTTTAGAGGCACCTTCTCATTGGTTGCATTCCTGAGCCACGCACTTTTTTGAGCCGGCTTAGTAAAGTTGGGTCTTAATGGACCAGAACGTCTAAGGGGGCGCTCATTGTATTACAAAACATTCCAAAATAGTGAGAAAAATAAGCATTTAGCGGAAAAAGTAAAACAAATGAATAGCAGAAAAAATGAGAAAAATACTGCCGTGAACACCATAGGGACCTCCTTTAGGGGGGGGTACGGTTTCCGGCACTCCACTTCATTCCATAAGGGACGTCGAAGAGTACATCTGGTTTTAAACCAAAGGGCTGGGAGCATCGATTCACGGATATGTAGGGCCGTTTTACGCCGCCTTTAGAAATTGACGCTATATTCCATTTCTTGTATTTGCATGCACATAAAATTCTCAAAGCTGGTAAACTGGAAAGCAAAGAGTTCCAATCTTCGACCGGAACGGGTTCGTCAATAGGGAACGATCGTGTCCTAGTTTGTTTTTATTTGCCGACGCTCCATGCGGGCGGTCTTCCAGTATTATTCCTCTGATGTCCAGGACGAGAGAAAAGTACACCTACAGACCGCGCCCCTCGCTTTCCAGGCGGCGGCAAAGCGGCGGCCTTTTGCATACCCCAGGTTATGGCTTACGTGAGGAGCAGGGTATATAGACTACAAATAGTAGAGATACGCTTCGCGATGAGACTATTTTCTTCTTACGTTCAATCTCCCGCCCACCAGGCAACTATAGAATCAGTTAGGGTACGGTGGGGCTGGGTTCAAAAGTATGGCTAAAACTAGAAGGACACTCTAAGTTTTATAAAAAATGTATGCAATTTTGAAACGAATATGATATCCATTTGCCAAAAATTAAAATAGCGGATTCAATATAGCGGATATGCATGCAAAAGAATATTTTTATTACTTTAAAATTCCAGTTTTGTATGTTTTTGAGGCTGCTGGTAACGAATATTATATCGGTTTTAACATTATTTGCAAATTCGTTATAGCGAACATGTTTGCAAAAAAAATGTTTCGTTTGTGGCAAATCTGAGTTTCTATGATTTAAAAACCGCTGCAAGTGATGTTAGTCTTTGCAGTCTCTACGCTTACATGAAAATGGACGTGGAATTTGCTTTGCTGGAATTGAAAATGCATCGCTTACGTTCAAATATGTGGATACTCGATTATGTGCTGCAAAGTCACAGCCTCACCCACGTCAACTCTTGGAATATGTACGTAAAGAACCGCTGTCTCTTTCAGGTGAAATTTCACGGTAGATATACTTAATATTTATAACGTTTCAGAGATATATGCGAGCAAGGAAGTTTTAACTTTTCGCTGACTACTGACAATGTGGTGTAGCTAATTCTCGACAAGGCATACTTTTTCTAAAATTGTAAGATCTCTTCGAAGGTAATCAACGACAAATTACTGCATAGCTTTGCTACAAAATCGCAACTAATTGAGTCTGATGTACCAACTAGGTAATGTCTACGCCTAATAGTATAGAGTCGATCAACTCAAATATATCAGGAATATCTCGGGGATCAGGGAAACTACTTTACATAGGTGCTTGTAGGCTTTAAAAATCGGTCCAATGGCGGCACAGCTAAGGACAAAAAAGCGATAAAAATTAAAATTGAACAGACTGTTTTTTTTATGTTTCAGAGGTTTCTGATTATTTTCAGAAAAACTTTAGTAGGGATTGAAAATTGGAGGTTGTAGAGGGTGAGCGAGAGTATATCAGAATTTTTGGCATCTAAATCCGAACACCCAGTTTAAATGGTTTTCTTTCAATAAAATTTTGTATAAGTACTTAATGAAGCATAATAAGTAAATGATAAAAATTTCAAAATGATTGCACTGCTTTAAAGCCCTTTGACCTTTAATAAGGTGTGGATGCACCCTGACGTGCCACGCATTCTCCAACGCGCCTAGGCATGCTTCTGATCAGATGGTCAATGTCCTCCTATGGTATCTCATTCCAGGCAACCACCAACTCCTCTCGAAATGCTTCTAGAGTCTGAGGAGGACCTTGCAAATTGAGCAATCTCCTACCCATCATATCCCACACGTGCTCAATTGGGGTTAAAGTCGGGAGGTCTTGGTGGCCATGGTAACAATGTGACATCATTATGTTGAAGGAAGTCTATTGTGACTCTTGCAACATGTGGTCGGGCATTATCTTGTTGGAAAGTTGGATCTGCCAGGGTGTCAAGATAGGGTAAAAGGTGGGGTTCTAGAACTTCGTGGATATAACGCTGCGCGTTCATGTTACCTCTGATGGAGATTAAAGGTGACCTGGAACCATAAGCTATTGCACCCCAAACCATAACTCCAACAGTGTGATGAACATGTCTTTCAACAAAAAACTGTGGATTCCTCCTTTCACCACGTCATCTTCTAACCCTGGCACGACCATCGTGCATGCCTAAACAAATTCGAGACTCGTCACTAAAGACAATACTGTTCCATTCCTGATCCCAGAGTGACCGTTGTCTGCACCACTCAAGGCGATTACGTCGGTGTTCTCGAGTTAAAGGGAGGATCCAGTGTGGCCGGTATGAAAACAAGCCGAAACTTCTCATTCGTCGGTAAACACTTCGCATGCCAATAGGTCTTCCGTGTTCTGCAAACCATTCATTTGCCATGGACCTGGTAGTGGAGAAACGGTCCCTTAAGGCCAATAATCTTAGGCGGCGATCTTCACGGTCTGTTGTTCTACGGCGGCGTCCAGTGCCCCTTGCTTTTTGCGTACGGCCTTCTCGAAGCCATGCCTGACAACACCTAACCACAGTGTCTACACTTCTTTGCACTCTAACTGCAATTGCCCGAAAAGAAAGTCCAGCTTCCCGAAGTCCCACTATACGGCCCTTCACTAAGTTGACGAAATCGTACAGGTCTCCGTACTCTAGGCATCGTAACCGATCGTAAAGGATGACAAGAACCAAAGTCCGCCAACGTTGATTCTTTACTGCGGCTGAAATATTCATTTTTAGAGCGTTAGTGAATTAAAAAAAAGCAGTATAAAAACCGGAATGTCCAACTGATAAGGCTGAAAATTTTTTCACTTGTTATTTACAGTAAGATAAATACATTCACCAACTTTTATTCAAATAAAACCATTTAAACTGGGTGTTCGGATTTATATGTCACTTAGTATATAATTATTCGCTTCTTATTATGCGTATTTCGCACATCATAGATTTTCCCGCACATTTGCCTCTAAAACTTAAAATGATAGAGAATTATTTTCAATACACACGAGTCTGGATATATCCATATCAAATGGGTGAGGACTATGGACTGACTGTATTGACCTGTTTGACTTGATGCATTTAATTTCTTTGTTATACATGCTCTTAGCTAGCTTCTTTTTCAGAAGGCCAAACTTGTGTTTGACATAATCCTTTATGGATTTATTGCTGACAGCGTTGCGCGGCATATGCAGAGTCAACCTACTTGATGCGAGTTTTTTTGATATGTGAACAGGAGGTTTGAATGTATAAAATGCTTCATGCAGGCAAATGGTCTTTTATTTATAACTAAAAAGGTGGGCAAGTCATGATAATGTTGCGAAAATAATTTCTACGTGAAAAAAGGTCGCGGTACCGTAAAGCCTTAATCATGCATTTTATTTGAAGAAAAATTTTGCAACTTTTGGACTCAAAAAGTTGATATTTAGGTTAATATAATTATGGTAACTGGGTTTTCAATGTTCCGCCAAAAAAATCAAATCCACAAACTGTGGAAGTAAACCATCCAAACAGCGTGAAATATGCGTTATTTGGAATATACGACGAAATTAAAGTAACCATTAAGACAGGCACAATATCATCAAAATTTATTCTCCCCTCGCGTACTTTATTCCCGACTTTCATTACACATATCGACAAATCACTGTAAATGTAACTGATATAACAATCTATAAGTACTCTTTCTAATTCTACAATACGCATTATGACATATTTTCATGAAAACAGACACTAAAAAATTGGTATAACCGTTTAAGAAAGCACGTTTTTAGTGGCACCTGAAAATTGTATTACCCTCAAATTCAAATTCTCTCTCCTTGTAAATGAGGTAATTTCGGACTTGACCTTGAGCAATGAGTAAATATCTAAAAGTGAACTATTGCGATTTGGACTACTGATATCAAGAACGCCTTACTTACAGTGTCGGCAAATACCATTTTGCCGGTGCTTCCAGTATTTACCCTAATAAGTACACCTTTTTGAAGTTCAGTGGTACATTATTGCAACTGAGTAAAAAACAAAGATTCTTGGAAACGAAAGTCAATAATCACAAACAATAATATAATAATTAATCTATTTTAATTTCTTTCGGGGTCACGTACGTTTCTGTCACTACCCTGGGACCAGTTCTCTGGCAGTTTTAATTTATATAATTTTTTTACTCCTTTCTTTTTCTACTCTATACTTTTTGTTATTTCTTCATAACAAAAATATCATAAACAATGAGAGCAAAAGCTGTGACCCGCTCTTAAAAAGGTATCTATCTTCCAGACACAACCGTTATACTGAGCTCTCAATCTATACGATTCTCTTATTTTAAGACCCATGGAAATGAAAACTTGTTACTTTTAACATAGAACATTTCATTTTGCTAATGGTGTTTATCTCACGTTCAAAGTATATTTTTTAGTTTAAAAGTCAACATATGGCCACATATTTCCCCCTGGTTATATAAGGCTGTCAAAATCAAAATATAGTCTAACCCTGTCAATATATGTCACCTACAAATAAAGTTTTGTGACGTAATTGATATGAACTAAAGGAGCTATTTTTCTAAGTTGACATTGAAAATACCTAATTTGTACCCACTTATATGTTTGTGCTATGAAACACTATATAATATAGTTTTCTGCCAATTCATTCTTACATTTTCAACTTTTTTCAACTCCGTCTAAAAACTGCCGAGTTTGTTATGCTTTCGGGATGGAATAGATAGCTTCTGGATGGCGAACTTTCAATTAAGACGAGGGAAATTAATTTCAGCGGAAACAATTGTGGCTATAGTATATACTCAAGAAGTTCCCGTCTTTTAGTTTCTGAAGGCAGCGGGCAAGAGAGAATGAAGGAGGGATTATCTTTCCACCTCTCAAAAAACATCCGGTAGCTGCGGGGCCTTGTGGAAATTATAGAGAAGCACATTTCGTAGAATATTAATGTAGAAACGTTTTAGAGATAGCATTTTTGCCATATTAAATCGCACTTGAAAACTTCAGAGTCAATGGACCAATGCATAAAAGCATTTGGCATAGCCATATCTGACTTTTCTAAGATCCGCAATTTTTTATAAGTTAAGCTGAATCATTTTGAAGTCGACCTGGGTCTTTCGAGGCATTGGGCTGGGCTCTGCGATTGGTAGTTATACCTGAGCCTGGGTCAAGTGTCGGATATCTCTCCTACCTGTCACTATTGTTTTCGTTCCCGCTATACCGTAATGTTTCCATTTTTTTCAGTATATGTATCCATATTCTGTTAACCTTATGAATTTCCTCATTCGTTCCTGGTAAAATTGTTATCGTACTTATGAATTTTATGGCTGAGTTAAACTGTTCAATCTTCAACAATGTCATCTACCTGGGTTTCCTATGAAGCATTTCTTATTGCCTAATAACAATCGTCTCTCATATCACCAGACATTTTTCATACAAATGTTTTTGTTTCAGAATAGTCCCACAAAATGGATCTCGGGAAGTGAAGTTCAAGCATTAGCAACAAAATCTGGATCCAATATTATCAAGGTAAGTTTTAGGTTCTGACTTTATTAGATTCATCAACTTTAAAAGGTATAATCTGTATGATATTTAGTGCTTATTGAAAAAGTCATCCAAATTACGAGGGATGTCCTTTAAGTTTTGCATGTAGAAACATAGTAGGCCGCGCGGATCGAACGTCAGTACTGAATCTTAACCTCACTCGTTAGTAAACTTAAATTCAAAGTTTCATAACAATACGTGCACTGTTCTCACTGCAATGAATTTTTAAGTTTCGCCAAATCATTAGAAAAATGGAACTCAACCGAGAACATTTTCGCGCCATAATTTATTACAACTTTCAGAGAGAATTATCGCATCCAGAATGCCTTTCTGAGTTACTGTCTGTTTTCGGCAACGAAGCGCCACATCAGTCGACAATTTCCCATTGGTATGGAGAATTCAAACGTGGAAGGGTGAGTCTTAGCGACGATCCCAGGGTGGGACACCGAAAACGGCAGTCACCCAGGAAAACGTCGATGCTGTACGCAAACTCATCATTGAAGATAGACATGTGACATATCGCGAGATTGATGCGCCCTTGAAGATCTCAAAGACCTCAATTCAAAAAATTGTACATGTAGAATTAGGAGTACGTAAGTTAGTTTCTCGTTGGACACCCCACTGTTGAGTGAAGAGCAGAAATCAGCCAGGGTTAATTGGTGTCAAAAAGCGCTTGACCATTTCCGGAAACTCAAAAAATGTGTACAGCATTGTTAGTGGTGATGAATCGTAGATTTACTGTTATGAACCAGAAGATGAACGACAGTCGGCTGTTTGGGTGTTCGAAGGTGAAAAAAAGCCAACAAAAGTCATCCGTTCTCGAAGTGTTTCGAAAAAGATGGCCGCGACATTTGTGTCAATGAGCAAAGAAATGTTACTGCGGATTGGTATACCACCATTTGTTTGCCAAAAGTTATCACCGAGCTTCGAAAAATCAACCCCGAAAGAAGAATCATCCTCCACCAAGACAATGCAAGCTCGCACACAGCCCAAAAAACAGGGCAGTATTTAACGGAAGAAAACGTGGAATTATTGGGCCATCCTACATATAGTCCCGATCTAAGTCCTAACGATTTCTTTACTTTCCCGAAAATTAAAAACAGGCTGTGTGGTCAATGGTTCCAGTCACCAGAAGAAGCAGTTGACGCATTCAAAAATGCCGTTTTGGATCTGCCAGCAAACGAGTGGATTAAGTGCTTCGAAAATTGGTTCGTGCGCATGCAGATGTGTATTAGTCTTCGTGGAGAATACTTCGAAAAACAATAAAGTCAGTTAAAACTACCTGCCGGGTTGTTTTATTTCCATATGCAAAACTTAAAAGACATCCCTCGTATTTTTCAAGCGGGTCAACTGAAATTCGTACTGATGACATCGATGCAAGATTGATGTTAGCGTAAAAGTGGTAGTTGGAAATTCCACGATGACGCCATCTCGGGGCATTTTTCAAGGCTCCACTTAGCACTGAATATCGGAATGCCTAATGTACAAGCTTTGGGCATTTAGTCTAATCATATTATCCGAAAATGCCCCTAGTTTGCGAAACAATTGTATAGTCTGGTTTTATTGGTGCAAGTTGTTCAGGGGGGTATTCAAAACATGGACGCATAAAATGGGTACACCAATTTTTGTGGGAAAACTTTTTATTCGACAACAAACAATGAGAAAACGTGTTTTTTGGGATTCAATCGCCAGTGTTGGCAGGAACAAAAAAACTCTTTATACAAGATTCTTAGGTATTTATGATAATAATAATAGTAAACCGTCTTTTATTAGAAAAAAAAACAAATTACAGATAATTCATATATTATTATCTACAGGGTGATTTCGAGGTTGAGTCATTTATTTTAACAGTGAGTAGATCTGATCAAAAGAAATGTTTTTTTCCTTTACCATTTTTCTGGTAAAATTAAAGTAACAAAGTTATAGCCCTTTGGAAGTTTGAGTACCGCCCTGTCTCAATAATAATATTATGTGCTCGTGTTTGGCGACAACGGATATAATCCGCCTTATCGGTTCATCGCATCGGAAACAAAAAAGCGAAAGAATTTGGAACGATGTTTTTACAATTATTTTATTCATTTATATACAGTCAGTGTCAGTCGGTAACGCGTGAGTGAATAGTGGTGTCTGTTGCGTGGCTCAAACGAAATAAAAAATGGCACATGTTTATGCGGATCGGTTTCCCAATCGAGTGCAACCAACCCCTGGTGCCTTTGTTAATGTAGTAAAACGGGCTCGTGAATCAGGTGACGGCATGCCGGTGCTCCAAGACCTCACGATCAAATACAGGTCCGCACTGAAATACTTGTCGGGAGCATACTTTATAAAACAAGGTAAACTTTTTTTTTAATTTTTTTTTATTTTTACACACATATTTTGGTTTATCTTCCTTCTACAATCATTATCTGAAAATTAATGACTCAACTTCAAAGTCACCCTGTATAATTAGATTAGTGAGCAGCTAATGGCGAAGTTTAGCTATGGCAGCTATTCTTACACTTAACCATTAACTGCATAAGAATATAGATGGTAAAAAAGTACAGCTTTAAAGAAAATAATAATGAAAATGAATGGAGGAAAATGCCCATGTAACTGATTACAAACTAAATAAAAATTAGCTTAAAAATATAATGCTGGAGAAAACCACCTTTAAGAATCATCATTGAGCAGACGAGCTCTTAAGTGCTTTTTAAAACTACACAGCGGCAGGCTTTTTGTTCTGTAATCTAAGCTATTGTACAATATGCATGCATTATATGGGAAGGACCTGTTAAAAACAAAACAAAAACTATGAAGTGGCATTGTTAAAGCGAATGTGTTACGGATATGTCGTTGATGAACATTATACCTAAAAATTAGTTTTTCACGTAGATAAGTTGGAGTTCCAGAGACAAGTAACTTATGTATAAAGGTTAGATAGTTGCATTTAACTAAATCTGTCATTTTTAACCAACCTATTAGAGGATAACGATCCGAAACATGATCAAATTTTCTTAAACTAAATATGAATCGTACGCAGTTATTTTGTACTACAGATATTCGGTTACGACTTGCAACATCCAAACAAGGATAATAAACTAGATTGCAATACTTAAAAATAGATAACACAGTTATGAGACCTACAAAATAAGACCACACGTAAAAAGATCCGACTAACAGCAAAAAAGTTATGGGCCGAAAACCAAGGCAAACTGCAGGTTTTGGCACTTGTTGGAAATGCGACGATGGTTTCTCTCTGATATTTGAGATTCTCCAGATTCGTAGGATTCATATTTCTAAAGAACCCCAACAAAATTGGATTATATTGGTCAGGTAGTTGTTTGAGAAATACTAATTGTTTAACTCAAAACACATGTTTTCTGGCCATAACTATTAGTTTATTGAACAATATACAGGGTTCATTCAAAGGGCATTTTATAACAAAATTCACTAGTTTATCTTGCTGATACAAATGGGAAACCATCCCGGAAGATAAATTTTATTTTTATGCAGAAAAGGATGGGTTATGTTTTTTCTCATAAACAAAATCAAACAATTCGTATTTGTGAGTAATTCTCAACAAAAGATGATAGACACATCCGCTATGTTTTAAAATGTGCATGTGTATGTTTTTTGAATATCGTAGCGCGTTTGTTCAATTACTCACAAATACGAAATGTTTGAATTTGTTTAGAAGAAAGAAAAGTAACCTTTGTTTTTCGCATAAAAACAAAATGTATCTTTCGGAATAGTTTGTGACTCATTTCGGCAAAGTAAGCATGTGTATTTTGCTATTAAATGCTCTTTGAACAAACCCCGTATATTGCTCAATAAACTAGAGTAGTGATGGCCGGGAAACAGGTGTTTTGGGATAAACAATAAGAAATTCTGAAAAAACTACTTGACCAATATAATCCAATTTTGTTGTTGTTATTTAGAAGTATATTTCCTCTTAAACTAAGCACTTCTGTTTTTCTTTGCTCTTCTCCTTTTTTCTTCTCTTTAACTTTCTTCTTTTCCTTTACATTGTCTGGGTTCTGGGTAACCAGGACTGACAAATTCGACTAGACATATAAATGACGAATAGTATTACAAGAATCCGTCAAATAACGACAGACCTGTTACGGCCCGAGAGAAAGCCATTCATCCATCAGCAACGCTTCTCCAATTGAATTGTAGTTAGATTACTTATGGTTATCTGCTTATATTTGTCGTAATTTGTGTGATTTATTACCTGATATGAGATGGCCAGAATACACAAATCTAATATTTCAAATCACATCTACGCTACAAAAAATACAACCAATAACGTTGTTTACCAAAATCTCTTAAAGTAAATGACAAATCAGTAGACAGTTGCACTAAAATAATTAATAAATGATGTCAATTGCCAGAGTTACTGTTGCATTTTTTTGAATATAGCATTCTTTTGCCTGAAGCCAATCTCGTTCACACTGAAGCAAAATGAATATTTTACAGTACTTGTATGTTTAGGCTAGTTTTTATATACGTTCCAAATATGCTTTATACCTGCGAATAGGGTGATTAACCACCACATTTCAAACTGAGCCGTGGAAAATATTTCCATTCTTTTGCATTTGCAATAATTTACATAGTACGTGTTACATACAGTCACCTCTACGCGATTATTTTGGAATCATTTGGGATGCGTACGGAACAAATTGTTTTGATGGATTTCAAACTGGAAAAAGGCAATTAAAATTTCGGCATGAAATCAATTCATCTCTATTTTTCCCTCGCCTATTCCGCACACGCAAAATTATTCAGCGGCCATAAAAATTTCATATTCCAATGTCGACCAATGCTTATAATCAACGAAATATCAACCACAAGCGAATATTTTGCCAAAATAACTTTTTGATAAATGTGGACGGAATTCAAGGGCCAAGAGCTATGAGAAAATATGCAAGACGCATAATCGACCAATATTTATTTTTTTTTCATTTAATAGTTTCTATTCATTGTTCCTAGTATATTCGGAAGGCGTTGGCGATGGTTGCATTCCTGACGTTTCGAAATTACCAGTGGATTGCATTTTGAATTAACTCTTAGGTGTCTTTTCAGAAACTGTTCAAGCTGGGATATGCGACCCTTCCACACGGTAGCGAAAAGCATGTTACTCCAGAAGATAAACCCAGATGCCTGCGCTCAGTCTAACTTTTCCACACGCTAAGCGTCTCTCGGTTGTCGAAAAAAACTCAGAGACCGTCGACAAACGTACAGCTTTATAGTTTCGATAGTTTGTTATCTGGTGTGTTTCGGTTAAGTCTCTATGTGGGATATAATTAAAAAACAGTGATACAAACATTTAACTATGGTGTACTGTACGGTGGTGGGTAGTTCTAGCTACAACAACAATAAAAGCAAAGAAGTTTCAAATTGGCATTTCTTCAGTTTTCCAAAGAACAAAGAAGCTTGTAAACAATGGGTCCTGAAGTTTTATCAGCAAGTTTTATCACAAAGTCAGTGTACTAACGGCAAGAATGCGTTCCAAGCATTTTGTGGAAGGTGGCTACTATTTAAAAGAAAAAAGTTTGGGATCATCTCAAAATAAATGGAAGTTGAACAGAGATTCCACTTTGTCTTTTTTTAAATATAACATGTAATCTAACCATAGAAAGATAATAATATAATAACTACTGCAAAAGATAACGTCCAGGAGACGTAGGTTCTAATATTAGGATTTTTAATTCAAAGCATTAACTTTCTGGCGTAAATTACAATTTAAAATAACTGTTTAAATACTACACCAAGAAATAGGACGACAATTTAGCGAAGTTAAACTTCTATTGAAAAATGACAAGAAAAACTTGCAAACTGCTTTGCAAAGTTACCAAAAACTCAGTTTATTTTCTATTGCGAACAGTTGAAGTGACTAGTCATTATATATGAATATTTGGCACATTTAAGTTTAATTTAACTTTCAATTAAAACTTTTAATTTTTGATGTAAAATGCACCTTATGGCACAAGTCAGTTTCATGTTCTACACAAACTCACACAGTTTTGCACTTAATGCATGGTAACTTTGACATTATGCGGATTTTGGATGAACAATATGAATAGTTGTATTGGTGGAGTGGGAGCCAACCTAGGCCACCTTTGACCCCTTTTACTAACACTGTACTACCCGGCATGTTTCTACTTGCTATTGCAAAATCGCGCTCCAGCGATGTGATCTACCTATTTATTCTTGCACCAATTTGGTGCGTACATGAGGATAAAGAAAAAAACCAAGAGCTGGGAAGAGAAAAATTAGGAAAATGGTTATATAAACTCAACTGTCATACTGTATCCTGTTCTCCATCCTTCTTCTGTATAAAAAGTTGATATAACAAATTAAAATATGTAACTAATACACAGATTATTTCATTCAAATATCATTTGAAAAAAAATTACTTCAATTAGTCTAATCATATTAGACGAAAATACCCCTGATAACTGTAAATTCAGGTTTTATTGTTGCAAGTTGTTCAATGATCTGACTAATAGCAAAAAAATTATGGCCGACCACCGAGGCAAACTGCAGGTTTTGGCACTTGTTGTTAATGCGACGGTTTCTCACAGGTTCTTCAAATTTGTAGGATTCGTACATCTAAATAATCACAACAAAATTGGAGTTGATTGGTCAAGTAGTTTTTGAGAATTTCTAATTGTTTATCCAAAAACGCCTGTTTTCCGGCCATCACTACTAAATTTCTTGAGCAATATACAGGCTTAGTTCAAAGGGCATTTTATAGCAAAATACACTAACTTACCTTGCCGATATAAATCGCAAACCATTCCGGAAGATATTATGTTATTTTTATGCAAAAAAGTGATGGGTTACCCTTTTTTCTTCTAAATAAATTCAAACATTTCGTATTTGTGAGTAATTCGCAACAAAGGATGATGTGTATAGTAACATGTTTTTTGAATATCGTAGGGCATTTATTCAATTACTTACAAATACGAAATGTTTGAATTTGTTTAGAAAAAAAATGAAACCTTTGCTTTTCGCATAAAAATAACACTTATCTTTCGGAATAGTTTGTGGTTCATATCGGCAAGGTAAACACGTGTATTTTGCTTTTAAATGATCCTTGAACGACCCTGTATATTCCTCAATAAACAAGTAGTGATGGCCGGAAAACAGGTGTTTTGGGATAAACTATTAGAAATTCTCAAAAATATACTTGGCCAATATATTCCAATTTCGTTGTTCTTATTTAGAAGTATAAATCCTATGGACTGAAAGAATTTCAAGTAGTTGCGTGAAATTATCGTCGCATTACTAACAAGTGCCAAAACCTGCATTTTGCCTCGTTTTACGGCCATAATATTTTTGCTGTTCGTCGGATCGTTTTGTGTGGTCTCATTTTGTAGGTATCATAAATACCTAAGAATCTTGTATCAAAGGTTTTTTCGTTCCTGTCAACACTTTCAACTAAATCATAAAAAACCCGATTTCTCATTCTTTGTTTTCAAATAAAAAGTTTTCCCACAAAAGTTTGAACAACTTGCACCAATAGACTTTACAATTATTTCGGGGAAATTTGCTAATATGATTAGACTAAATAGCAAGGTAAGTCTCTTTATCTAGAGCTGTTCGAAAAGCTAGAAGTGTATTTTCAATGATTAAATCTTAAGTTACTTAGACCGTTTCAACTTGTCTATTGTTAATTTTCCAAAAGTGATAACTTGATATACGCAATTTATTCTGTCTAATGTTATACTCTATTGAATTTTATTGGCAAAACATCAAAATACAAATAAAACATTCTAAATAATACTAAAATTATCATGCAAAAACGATGACATCAGAAATGTTGGACCAATATTTCAAATCTTTGAAAGAAAACGCTCTAATACGACTACAATGCATTCCATACCGGCGAGCAAAACATTTGTCACCGAGTGACGTCATGCGCGAAAGGGTAAGAAATTCAATAGCGAAGTAAGGATATCTTCTCGACTTGCACAGAGTACCTCAAAAAAGAAAGCTTTTTTGCTATGTTGCTAGTTCATGGTATCTTCCGAGAAATTGATCAAGTTGGAGTCTGCAACCGGTATTTATGCCTGTGCCCGGGTCGAGGGTTGGGTGTCCATCCTAATATTACAGTTGTTTTCTCCCCAGCCGTACGGTAGTGAAAAATATGAAAACACTACTATCGTTGTAATTATGGAGATTACTCAGGTAAGTAGTTGGAAAAGGTCTACATAACGTTAGCTATGCTCACTCGTGATACCTTTGCACTGTGAGCATCATTGCAAAGCAACTTTTAAAAACCCTACAACAAATATACTACACTTCATATTCACTTCATCGTCATGTTGATTACAAGACAGCATCACGTTTAAGATCAGTATCAGGATCAGAGAGACTCAATTATTGTACTCAAGAAGATTGAAAACTCCACTTGGGCATATCCAATCTGGTACGTTTTTTCACTCCCGGCGGTGTTTGCTGGCGTTCTCATATTCCCCCTCCGGAGACATCAAACGCGGGCACACAATCTTTATGAAATCCTTGAAGGGGAATATTATTTAAAGATATTAAAGTTCAAGATGAAATTTAATTGAAATCGGTTGGCGCGCTGGGAGTCTGCTGCTTGAAGCAGATTTTTAAATTCCTCAGAAATTAATAAAATTACTTTAGCGGCTTCTTTTATATCGCGAGGCAGATACACCGCTTTATTCTGCTTTCCAGGATACATGCTTAGAGAGTGCTTTTCATAGAAAGACATCCATTCCATTTACCACGCCAGCAGGCAAGGAAGCTACAACTTTGAAAGTACCGGTTGGATTTTGACAGAGAGATTTTGAAAGTTACGGCTAAAGCTTCATTTTTCGTCATTTAAGAGGCTCCTGATCAGTTCCAAGGAGAGTTGGGGGTTGTAAAAATTGGGGAAGTATAATGCTCCCAACCACGGTACTTCTTAGCGTCTATTAGAGATAGTTCCCCATACATATGCCCTTAAAACTGCATGATTGATACAAACCTGCGTCGCAGTCTGACCGATGTCGCACCGTTGCCGGATGGTCGGTACAGGCGTTAGGCCAGAGGAGAAATTCCTAGATGACCAAGTTGAAAAACAGGTGGAGACCACGTACTTCTTGTACGAGGGTGGGTCAAATATAAAGCGGAAATTTGCAAATACCTTTCTAAGCCAATCACGAGCGCACTCACAGTATAGGTCAGTCAACGCGTCAGTACAGCGATGAGTGAGCAAGCGGTTCCACCGTCCGTTGCGCAACGAGTTATAATAGAGTTATTGACGTTAAACCGCGCGAGACTTTGGTTGGATTTAGGGCTCACTATGGGGATGATACCCTGACTAAGACTCAGGCATTCGATTGGGCCAAAAGGTTTAAGGGTGGACGAGAACATGTAGAAAGTTTGAATTATAATCGACGTCCAAGATCAAGTGTTTCTGGTGACAACATTGGTGGTGATGTAGAACGTGGAGGGGATTACATTACATATAATAATAATCAACATAATTTTGGTATTATTTCAATAGATAAACATTAAAACATAATTCCGGCTCATATTTGGTCCACCCTCGTATATGTCGGGTTATATGGGTGTGGTTCGGATGGTCTGATTTGTGTCGCACATAATCCTTTATGAATTGATGACTGCGTTGCGTGTGAATTGAAGAGACAACCCGTTTAACTTTATTTTTTAGATTCTATCTAAAGTTACTCTGAGTTTGTTACTCGCGATAGTCTTGTATTGATATCTGGTGTAATATGGGGCGAGATCTTGGCTCCAATTTCACGCCAGATGGCCCAATTCTTAAATTGATCCCCTCCCTTGTTGACGGTCCAAAGTAATCATCTCAGTCCCTCAATCTCATGTCCTTAGTTGAGATTACATGGACAGACATCGACAATAATTTGAGTAATTGAAATAGGAGTTAACTCCTGTGGTTCCTTATTAAATCACTTCCAGCCTGGACGGCAGGATAATTGAACTTACTGGCCGATATTGTGTCTACCCACGTCAATCTGCTATCCCTTTTGAGTGGCAAAAGGCCATTAACGATTGCAATTAGGGATGCAATCATCTTGAGGGCAAACATCGCTGTATCCATACATATACAGGGTGACTTCGAAGTTGAGTCATTTCTTGTAACAGTGAGTAGATCTGATCAAAAGAAATGTTTTTTTCCTATAACATTTTTCTGGTAAAATTAAAGTAACAAGGTTAGTTCATCGCATCGGAAACAAAAAAGCGAAAGAATTTGAAACGCTTATCACGATGTTTTTACTACAATTTTATTCAGTTGTATTCGGTCAACGTGTCAGTCGGTAACGCGTGAGTGAATAGTGGTGTGAAATTATCTTGATTTCTTGCAACACAATTTGCCTGGTTTACTGGAAGATGTGCCCTTAAATATCAGATAAAACATGTGGTTTTTACAAGATGGGGCACCCCCCCCCCCATTATGCAAGAAATGTGGCCGCCAAGGTCTCCGG